AATGGTGATTTGCACAGAACACATTGAGTTCTGTCTTTACTGATAACAACTCGGACTGGAGGCCTAAAGTAAGAGAACACACATTATTCTTGGAACTATTTTTCTTTTGGCCCTTTCCTCTCTCACAGGAATATTTTGGTTTTGGTGGCTGAAAATTATCACTAAAAGACTCTTGTTTCTCATTTTTGCCCTTCTATCCTGAATGAGGACCAAGGAATTTGAGTGTAGACTGAGTGGAACTTTTCTGTTTCAGAAGCTGACCTATCAGTGTCATGATAGTAACCCACCGACACTGGGGTCAGTTGTTATGTAATGGAAGTGCCTGAACAATTGCTGGGGCATCCCTGTGGTAAGACCCACAGGGAACCCAATCCAGTTCTCCCATTTTGGTCTTCTCCCACTTGGAAGAGTTTCAGGCCAAGCCTCTCAGAATCTGGATCTCTTCTCTCTCACAAGTCTCCTCTATACACTCTCTGTTCTAGTTGGACTTGGATATTTCCCTCAGAAATTATCATCTCTGACTTTGACAACTTAGCTTCTGACACTCAACCAACCTGAGATTTATTCCTCTCCCCAGGCATCCAATTGTAGTGATCCTACAAGACCCAGTTCCATACCCACCTCATTCATGAGATCTGACCAAGCCAGACCACACACCACCCTTCACCCCCCACAATACACCACCATTCATAAGTCACTACCTCATATTGATGGCTAACATCAAGCCCTCTTTAAGACTGTAAGCTCCATGATGACAAGGATCCTGGATTTCTCTTCTTTGTAACCCCCAAAATATGTGTGGATAGACATACTTTATAACGGAACATATTCTCCAATGCCTATGAAACTCCAGGTTGGTTTAAAAATGGAAGAGAAAATTAAAGATAGGTAGTGAGGTATTCAAGAAGTCCATCCCTGAGATCTTAGAGAATTTTTATTTGCCAAAACTAATTTCAGCCTCCAAATTCTACTGGCCCTCCTTCAAATCCCTATCACGCCTAAACCTCCTATGCCGCACTCTGAACTACAGACACTACTATGAGTAAAAGCAACCCCATTTCCTGAGGTAGATCCTTCTTGAGAGGCTATTGACTTGCATACCAAATGTTGGGGATAGAATATAACAATAAGGTTAAAACATATTCAATCTTACTCTTCATGATGTACCTGTTTTAAGCATTTTATTTATATTAACTCAGTTATCCTCACGACAATCATATGATATAAGCACTAGTAGTACCCTTCTCTCCTGCCAATTTTACAATATGGTAGTCTCAGGCTGGTTGCAAATTCTTGCTATTCCTCCCATTGAAAAATGAGGTTTATATCTCCTTCCCTGATACTGAGAAAGCTTTGTGACTTATTTGACCAATAGAATCTGGTGGGAGTGATACTGTGCAGGCTTCCAGGCCCAGGCTATAAGAAACCGGCAGCCTCTACTTCCTGTCCCTTGGAAAACTCTTTCTGGAAGCCCTGAGCTTCCATGAAAGAAGTCCAACTACTCTGCTGGAAAGACTAGAGGGAGAGTCCTGGAGATTACATGGAGAGCGAAATGAACCCAGTTAAGTCAAGTGTTTCCAGTTAACTCACCAAAGCACAAGGTATGAGTGAAGTCAGACCTTCCAAACCAATGCAGCCACTCAGTCAACTCCATGTGTGCAGAAGAATTGCCTACACTGATTATTTTGGAGGGAAAACTTTCCACAAGTCATGCCACTTCTAGTTATTAAATGATGATAAAGTATGTAATAAAGCCTATCTTGTTTTCTGATTTGTTCAATAAATATTTATTGAGCACCTACTAAGTGCCAGACCTTTACTTGAGAATTATCACCAACCCCATGCTTTCTCAATGCATCCACCAGCTTTCTCAATCTTAACTTTATTTTTTTTTAAATTCAGGGGAGCACCTAGAGACATTTTTCTTAATATAGGCTGAAGATCTGATGCTTGGGCACCATAGCTGTTAGTAATTTAACATAGTGTATGTAATTCATAAGTAGTTCTATAACAAACGAGAGTATCAGAAAGATCAAAGTACCCATTACTTCCAGGAGGCTGGAGTTTTGGAGACCATATCAATTCAAAAACTATTTGTTCACATTCACACACAGTTAAGAGCAGCACTGAAGGCACTTCGCTGTTTTCCTTTGATCTGAAATCAACACTAACCAAAGTCTATCAGAAATGAACTACTCAAATGATGTTTTCTTAGCTTATGCTTAAAAAAAGAACCGTGGATTTTTTAATAACTAGATTTTTACACTTGTGGATTCACATGCTTATTTTGTTTCTCCTGGAAGAGTTTCAGTTTAGTACAACCTGATTTAGCAATGGTATCAAAGCAAAGGAAGACAGAACAGAGTATCATTTGGAAAAGGCTGTAAGATTTTACACATAGGTGAAAATGTGAATGATGGGCCTGGTGAACACGAAATCCAGTCTTCCGCACTTCTTTTTTTTTTTTTTTAAAGCTTCAGTGCATGGATGTGTATCTGAGTTGTTAGTTTAGTTCTCTGTGTGAGCCGCCGCCACAGTATGACAACTGACAGATGGGTGGTGGTGTTCCACGACTAGTAAATGAACCCGGGCCATGAATCTTAACCACTAGACCACCAGGGCTGGCTCGTCCCCCCCATTTCTTTTTTCTCCTTTCTGAAGTATCTCCCAGAGAGGAAATCTTTAAGAGTCCACTTCATCCAAGAAGATTAGCTGGATCACACAGGGCATATTAGAGCTGCAGAAACTGATCTTCCTCACCCAAAGCATTTGGAATCAGGAACAGTCCTAAACCTTGGATAGAATCGAAGTGTTGTTGGGTCCCCAGTCCTAACATAGACTTGATGTGATCTACAGAAGGTACTTGAGATCAGAATAGGCTTGGAGACGAGGCAGGCTATTGAGTTTTTACAGAGCCCAGGGCTAAGTTCTCACGGCTAGTTGGCAAGACCAAAAAAAGTCCAAAATACTTGGCATAAAATTATTTCCTCTCGCTAATCTTTACAAAGAATATGGGGCTTTTTTTTATCCCTCATCCAAGTCTAATCTAATTCTGCTAGTCTGTTGGCTTTCCTCCAAGAGTATCTATTTACACACCCTTAAAAACAAAGAGTGTCAACTGATTTATAACTCATTTTTATAGCCTTGGTAGAAGCAAGAGGAAAAGTATGTAGATATAATCCAATTATTACTAGACTCAAAGGAAAAGAAATACACCAGACAGGAGGCTGCTAGGGCATCCTCCAGCTGCCCACTTCCTCTAAAATGACAACAGGTTCTAGGATATTTAGAGTCATAATCACTTGCAAGACTTTGTACCTTATATCCTACTCTTCTCTAAAAGCTCTGGCTTTCTTAGTTTGTGAAAAGACTTAACCAATCTACTCCCATTTATGCCTTTGTTGCAGGAGTGAAAGCCAAAAGCCAATAATTACCGTGGCTTAGTCCCTGAATCCCTATGTAACGTTAAATCCTCTTGAAGTCAGTGAAAATTTGGCCTTGAAAAAGATTCTACGGGACCAGCCATTCCCATGAAGAAAAAGCCATTTGCTCCTCTGCTTCCCACAGAGTTAGTGGAATGTATTCTGACAGAAACAGAACAAGTCTGCCAAGACCTGTGCAGACAGAACTATCCTTTCACCAACAATAAACAGATCTGCTCTTGAGCTATAGAGAATCATAATAGAAATATATATTGCCTTTTATCTTCTTTTCAGTGAGTAGAGTGAAGTGTCAGGAGTTATTGCTTTAATATCAGTAGAGAAGAAGCTATTTTTTTGGAGCATGTGCGTAGGTATGCGTGTAACAGCACGTGCAACTGTAAGACTGCTATGCTAACCAGATTCTTAGTAGTCTTTCTAAAATACCTAAAATTGGTCTGATGACATCATCAGAACATACAGCTTCAAGTCATTCCCATAGAGTCATTTAAGGAGCTGTCTGTATATTTCTGATCAAAGAAAAGCGAAAAGGAAGACAACAATTTTACCTCTACCTAACTCACATAAACTTAATTCAGAAGAATAAGAACAAATGGGGGGTTAATTGATTATAGATTTTAAGTTTACGATGCCCATGAAGTCAACGGAAGGGTGATGTCGAAGACTCAATTGAGACCATGGATAATGTCTTAAAACTGAGAAAAAGAAAGGACAAGCACTGATCTACTGAATCTTCTACAAACTCTGACTAGGCTAGGGGTAATTGCCCCACAAGAAATTGGAATGTCTTATTTTATGCCAGAGTATTTAAGGCTAATAACTCGATTAACCTCCTACCTTCTACTAACTAGATTTATGAAATGCCAAGGGAGTCAGCAAAGCATTAAGCTTTAGCTAGGGTATAATTACTTTTAAGTGAAAAAACAAAAATGTTACCACAAAACTAAGGACTTCCTATATAGACAAACTCAGACCTCAAATTTTCTAATGTAATTAGGATCTCGGTCAAATATAAAGGAAACAAAATGGACAAAAATTAACAAGTGATTAATCAACACTCGATATCAAACACAGAGATTGCATTTTATAAGGATTAGTTGAACTTCTAGTTTCAATTGCCCTTGACTTAATACTACCCATTGGCCTCAAAGCCATTGGGAGGATGTGAATAGAACTGAATGAGGATACAGCCTTTCCTATGATAACACATTTTCCTTTCCCCCTTTTCCCTTTTTGCTATTGAAAAGAAAGGTAACAAAATGAGAGGAGTGAGTATTTCATACCGAAAGTATTGTTCATTGCTCATTTTGAATAACAGCTTTACCATTTCAGCAATAAATATGATAGGAATAATAACCCATGAGTGCACAAAAGACTTTTATAACTTCTTTAGCAATGATTTTGTCTTGCTCTACTCCCGGGTCTTATTACTATGAGCATCTGTAGGCATCCTTCCTACAGAGTAATTCAGACGTTTTAGCTACATAGCAACACTGACCATGATAGCAACGTCTCAAAGACAAAGAAGCAGAATCAATTAATAGCTGGAGAAAGGCTTACCTGAATGCTGGCTGTAGAGCGATTCTTGCGGGTTGTGGTAGTAGCCATTGTAGTGGTGGTTTCCATGACAGTGGTAGACATTTCTGGTGGCATGGAGGTTGTCTGTGTTGTTCCCAAGATTGATGGGACTTCTCCCACCAGCCGGACACTTCCGTTGATTTTAATATTGGGGTTATTCTCAGCTGCCATGTTCAATACTTTCAAACCATCATAATAGAGCCCAGAAAGCTGGCCTTGGAAGAGGCGTCCTTTGTCCTTTCCACCGATGGCTATTTGCGCCTGGGTGTTGAAGATGGTTAACTGCCGGCCTAGTGGGTTGGGTGGAGGAAACATCATTATTCCCATACATTTTCTTTCTTTGCCTTACCTGGTCTAAATGGACCAGGCATCAAAACAGGCTTCCTTGAGCAATCCAAGAGGAGAAAACTGGATAACAAAAATTCAATATGGACATTGGCAAGTAACATTTCATTATGTTTATCTCTTCCACTGTCTAGCTGAATACCCTAGAAAATCTGAATGATCAAGTTTCTATTTCTTTATTGTGAGGAAGGAGAAATCTTGGCTCAATGATGAGCAGTATTGCAATCTTTTGGATATGCAGTTGTGGATGACAGAAAGAAACCCCCAAATCAGGTGATGACAGTAATAAATCATAAATGCCTATTCCACCGATTTTTTTTTAACCTACAAAATAACACATTGACAACTAAAAAGAATTATATACAGCAAACAAAAACTGAGCGAGGTAACTCAGAAGACTGAATTTAAAAACTAGGTCTGATAATTAAACTTTCTGAAATTAAATTAAATTCCAATTAAGAGACTTGGATTCATTGCATACTTATAAAAATTAATATTTTAGTCACCAAATCCCTCATTTCCTAGAAATCTTCATAGCGCAAACTAGTCTATCTGTACTTGTGGTTTAATAAACATCATGACAGATCGCTTCCTGTCTCTATTAATTTGGGGGAGTAGGGATAATGGTCACACAACTAAATCTCTCCCTAAGATATGGAAAACAAGCAGGCATTCATAATGTTCCTGGGGTGGAGGGAAGAAAAACACATCATTCCAAATCAATGAATTTTAAAAAGGGGATGGGTATAAATGAAAAAAGCAACACGTACAACTCCTCAAAATGATACAAAAGTATATTCATGTGTTGAAGTCCTTCAGTAGCTCACCTTATTTGGAGTTCCCATTTGGGGAACCATTCATGCTTCTGTGGATAGAAAACTATCAGAATGAAATCATGGCAGAATAAAGTTTAGAATAATATAACTCAACTTGTCTTCCTCCCAACTACTTCTACTTAAAAAGCTTCTCTTAAGTGCTAGATCTTTCCCAGAAAAATCCTAATAGCTTTTTAAGGCTAAGGCCTTCTATGCTATTATTTCTTCAGATTATTTCCTTCTTCTTTTCCATATGGAGAATGGCTAAAATCTTATAAATGGAATTAAATATATCCTTTTTGAATTCTTTTCTACTTTAGGCAGTGATCAAACAATGCTCCACTCATTCTTAATCTAATCATTTGAATTATTTTAACTATAGATGACTAGAAATAATGTTCTGTTATTCTTGCCTGCTTATTAAAAGAGAGCATATTTTTATATATAAAGGTTTTACATATGAAGTTTTTGCTCCACAATCTCTAATATGAATAGAGACTTACTGTTTGTGCTCTTAACCTCTACCATCATTACATGGTCTTTAAGTCTATACAATGATTAGCTATCCTTGAATTCCTGGTGTATAATGTGGAATACCTTCTCAGTGTATAATAATGGAAGAAATGGAAGAGGCGGAGAAGGGAAAATGCATCTGCTCAGAGGGAACTCTTTACACAAGAGTCAACTCTGCTCACTGGGCAGCTCTCAAGTCAAGAATGATTTATACATAATACCCCTTTGGAAGCTTCAAACACTGCAGTAGGGAGAATAGGCCAGAGAATTTTGTTATAGTGAAAATGATCTGCACTCCATAAAAATATTTGGAGCATGGAAATGGAACCTGCTGGCCTTAATGATAACAGAATTGTGCAGATCCCAAGGCTGCAATCAAAATAGATCTAATAGATTGCCATTCTTTTCCCCGCAATTCTTTCAGTGCCCTGTGCACGTGCATCATTGCCTGTCCTTTGGCCTCTCATTTCTCACGCGAGATGCAGCAAAAAGTTCAATGCTCAGTAACATTGGGTGATGGCCTGGAGCTCATACCTCATTACCGTTTATTTTTTGACAACAGCTGTTTCTGGGAGTCCTAAGCTTACTACAAAAGAAACGCCATGATGGAAGGAGAGAATAAATATGCCCTCAACCTCACATAAGCATTTGGGACAGCTTAACAGAATAAATAAGAAGAAGCTGCCTAATAGGCGATCTCTAGGATTAAAATTCAGTATCTTATACCAGACAGCCCCAGTGCCAAGCTATCCCTTCCATTCACAACTGCTGGCCAACCATTATATTTATTTATCTCCTTTTTTGTATATGGTCTAGCACTGATGATCAGTTAATGGTTATAAGTGATTATAGGCAGAATATTTTTAATATTCCTGAAAGTACTTTACATCTATAATGGTTCTCATCTCATTTTCCTGGTGATGTTATTCTGCCATTGCTTACAAATAAAGAAAAGGGTCAGAGAGAATTGAAATGCAAAGCTGAATTACACTGGCTAGAAATGGTGGATCTCCTTTATTTCATTGCCAATGTTCCCTCCATAAAGTTGTCTTTGCTTGCCCAAGACTGGGGAAAGGCAAGCCATGTTTCCTGGGCTGGAAGATTAAGCCACTGCTCCACTCCTGGTTACTGCTGCTTTCCCAGAGAGATCTGAATAATCACTTCTTGAGAACAAGACACTGCTGAGGTGAGACAGGGAAGGAGATTGTCTATGTTTCAATTTTTCATCATGCCATAGAAAATATCTGGATTTTTGTTTGCTTGTCTGTTTCATGGTCTGTTTATGGCTAGATCTGCTTTTCTTCTGTTTCAAGACCCTTGCCAAGCCCTCTATACCTTGGATTATGTGGTTCATAGCAAAGTTGGCAATCACTAAAGGAATAGTGGGACATTCTCAGTCTCACGCCATCTCTTTCTCTGATCAATTTCTCTCTCCCAGCTAAGCAAGAGTAAGTGAATAAGTGAGAAACAGCCATTCCCACCCTCTCACTGTGAAGGGTATAAAGGATTGACTGGAGAAAGTTTTATCATTTGCCCAAGATTTCTCAAAATCAGTGCCACATCTCATTATTGTCACTCATTATGATCAACTGTGTTTTTTATAATAAGTGACTGTGATATCTATATCTATATCTATATCCCAATCTCAGAATTGTTCTATCATCAATTATGCAAAGTTTTGCTATAACCCCAGTACAGGATTTGTAGCAGGTTACTTTTTGTTTTGTTTTGGGTGCCTATCCTCTTGGAAGTCATTAATTGCTACCTCATTTGGACATCAAGTTCACGTACCGCTTAAATTAAATCTTTGCATGTCTCCAGTGTTGCAAAAAGACTAATTAATTAAACCTCAGAACCCCCTTGGAGAATAGGCAGTATTATTTCTCCTTTCCTCAGAAGGGAAATCTGAGATATAAAGAAGTTAAGTGGATTGTCTAAGGTCAGAAAGTCAGTCAATAGTAGACAGAGCCAGAAAACAGACTCAGGAATGCTGTGACCCAGACCTCTTCCCCAATGACAGAAATAACTCCAAAGAGGCAATTTAAGTGCTTCCTAATACGTCTGCCTAGTCATCCTTCTGTCTGTACCCTTTTTTTGTCATTGTCTTTACCAGGTCTTTTGGTATACATTTTCTAATCCTTTTGAAGGGAAAGTTAGCTAGACAGAGGAAGGGGTAAAGCAATAGAATGACTAGACGTTACTCACCCAAATTACAAAAAAAATAGAACTTCAGTTAAAGCAAGGCAGAAGAGAGAGCCTCCCAGTTTACAAATAATTTTCAATATTATATGCATATATAAACATGTACATATTTGATTAAGAGACTAGAATGCCTCCCTCCATCCTCCTGAACCATCCCAACCCCTTCACTTTTTGTGTATCTGAAAGCATCCTTCTATATGAAGGCCAGCTGATAACAATGCTCTCATAGGAAAACTAAAAGCCTACTAATAACTTTATAATGGTTTATACAAATGAAAATGCCTGGCATGCTATTAAACTTAGACTTCAAACGGCAATGGAGTAAAATAAAATATTATTAACATAAAATTAAAAGAAACAAAAAAGTTCTCTCAGGCACATGAGACTCAGACATGCATCTAGTTTTCTTTCTCTTTTTAAAATGTGAGGCAATCATCGTCTTTATTGTTAAAGGGACTTTATGAGCTGGTGATTACTAAACAAAATTATTTGCTTTTTAGAGTTATTCTTAATTTATTTTTAATTAGACCACATACGTTAAAAACAGGGCAAACAGTTAAGGCTCAGTGAGGATTTTCCGTGTTTAAGGGTCTGAATTCTTTCACCCAACTTAAAACTGTACTAGTCTTTTGTTTTTTAAGTTGTATACTAAGTAAAATATCCAATTACTTTTTATATATAACTCAATCAAATCTCTGCAAATTTTAAGAACTCACTTAAGGTCTTGAGACAAGAGGAGCTTATATTGGCTCAGGAAAGAAGAGAATAAATAGCTTCTTAAACATAGAAAATTTTCTTCATTGCAAGACAATAGTTTACCTCCTAACAAATAGAAGCCACACAGAAAATTCTAACATCGGGTATAACCGCTGCCCTCTTTTATTAACAAAGTGGTTGTTTTCTTCAGCAAATCAGAAATTGCTGTTTTGCCTTTCATGAGCCTTTCCTTTTCCAACACATTGTCTTAAACATTTACACTTTTGATGCATAAACATCAAATACACAAGGGAATCATACAACCAAAGTGTAAAATAATTTGTTTCTTTTTAAGTTTCAGTCAGCCTCTAGGACGCAATTAACCTCTTAGAAAACGCTTTTGCCTCTGTAAGTTTGAATCTAAAGGCAAAATTCATCTTTCTCTTTCTTTTCTTCGTTTAAAAACAAATGTTAAAAAACGTTGTTCCCCTTATAACATTTGTTTTAAGCAGTTTAAGTGACAAGAGTAGATCTGTGATTTTTTTTTTTTGCTAACCATGCTACAGATAGTAAAGCCAAAACAGCCTCAAGATGTGAGTTTAGAAAGTACTTTTGAAAGTTCTTTAGAAGCTTTGGTAGAAGAGGTGATTTAAAACAAATTAACAAATAATGTCATGCAGTGGTTAAATTGCCATAATACATTTCTTTTTTAGAGGTTCCTGGAATTTCTTGTTTGTGGTTGTCATGCTGATAGCAAGCTAGATGTTAGTCCCTTTAACTGTATTTTAATGGCAATGTATTATAGCATGATTTATCAACATATGGCAGGTGGAAGCTGGCACAAATTATAATGAAAATTAAAACAGTCATTTATGCAGCAGGCGATTATCATTTAAGGAACATTTATTTGCAGGCTTTAAAAATGAGGGTTTAGAATCAAACGATTTTAAAATGAAAGTTTTAACGACGGTTACCTTTTTCCTGCAGCCACTCCTCTACGGGCCGGTTATATTTGAAGGGGATTTTCTGTTTTACCATTTGGAAGCGTTCATTATCAGTGTTGCCTTTAAAGTTTAAAAAACAGCTTAAAGAACAATCTGAAAAGTCAATAAGTCATTAAAAAACATCCTAGGTTTTTGGTTTGTTTTATGAAGTTTTTAGAGATAGATATCAATTTATCTTTAGTAGAGGTGGAGTCGAAGTCACTCTGCCCTTGGCTGATAGGTTTGAGGCCAGGTTAGTCTTAGCTATGCAGTGCTCCAGCATGTTCTGAAAATATGGCCTGGGAGGGGAATCAGTAAGAGGGCTGGCCATTGAGAGAAATGGGTTTACCTTCACTCTTCTCCATCTCACCCCTACCATACCTTAATTGGGCCAATGGAGGCACAAGGATCTCCTTGATCTGTGAGCAATTCACCTGCCGGATCAGCTTCATAATATGGTAGGGGACCCTCAGCGTCTCAGTCACGCACACTCCACTCTCATTCTGCTGTATCCTATCAGAAGCATGGGGCCACGCACTTCTTTATTCTCCTCTCCAGTGTTTGTCACTATTCTACCTTCTGGCAGAGGGAAGGCAAAGAAGACAATTTAAGCCTTGATGGTCAAGGGAGGCTTATTCCGTAAAAGGGGCCCTAGCACCCTATCACCTGTGTTAAATAGGTAGAGTATTACAGATGACTCTTTATATCTCTATTCCTTTGTCCCAATTTGTTCCACATTTTAAAAAAGAAGGAAACCCAAAGCAAATATCTAAAATTAAAGCAGCTATAAATATAGTGAAAGAGCATTTGCAGATTTTTGAGCACCTATATTTTATTATTACTAATAGACTCAGGCTCTATATGTTTACCTAATCTCTCTCTCTCTTATCTTCTCTCTCTTACCTACCTCTCATAGGAACAAGCATCTATTGACAAAGCCTGTTAGGGATACTTTTTTCAAGCATGAAATATTTAATTAGTTTCAAGCCTCAAACATAATGCTTTTAAGAGCTAGTATGCTCCCTTCTTTCTTTTGTAACTGTTGTTATCACTCCTGGATGGTTTGTCTAATTGGACAAACTTGGAGAGTGGTGTTGTGCAGATATACCCTTAATGAATATGCTTCAAATTACAAAATAATGAAGCCATGCTTTGGGAACTGTTCTATCTCATCAACCAACCTCACAGTGATCAAGCAGAAACTAGTGAATTTTAATTCATTACTTTTCACTCATAGGCCTATTTGGAACTTAGGAAATCTCATCCAAATTACCAACATTAAAAATGAAATCAAAATCTCAAAACAGGTGGCTTGGAAACAATTTACAAAGAAGTCTACAAGCCAAAAAGAATATTAGAATTAAATATAGCATCAGGCCAAGTGAATAGTAGAAGCTTGTCACAGCATTTGAATCTTAGGGAGACCTCCATATAGGAGTTCTTATTGGCAGAGAAGATTCCACATATGAGTAAACTGGTACCTCCCTTCTGTGATGGGTAGGATGGGAAAAGGGTGACTATGTTGGGCGATATTTCCAAGATTCTCCATTCATTTCTCCCATGAGCAAATTATTCTAAGATGCTGATTCATTATCCTGACTACCCAGGAATAAAAACAAAACAAAACAACAGCAACAAAAAACAAAGCTCATGAAAGAGGCAGCTATGGATCTGTTTCCAGCCTACCTTATGGGACCCTATTTGGCTGGCTTACAACATGATATATTAGCATATCAAAGGGCAAAGTGCAATGAATGGAAAGAACAATTAACAATTTTGGATTGCAGTGTATAATTTAAAGTTTTCCTCAAAGTATTATTTCTCCCAGAAAAAAAGGGAGGGTGCAGGCAAAGAGAAAAAACAGAAAGGCAACTTAACTTCTTGGTGTTTGAATAAGCCACGGTGAAAGAAGTTAGTTTTACCTGTTAATACAGCTACTGGTTAGAGATCACTATAATGATTCTTCCTGGTAGATCTGGGTACTCACAATTCTATTAATCCCAAAATAAAGTTGCATAAATTCTCACATATCTTCATAGAAAAGAAGCACGCACTTTTCTGAAAAGAACCTGTATCTTTAACACTTAATCCTACCCTACAGGAGACAGATATCACAAGGGATGTCATCCATCTTCCTTAGTTTTGACCCCTCTCAAGTTTTAGTCATGACAGAATATTATACTCGGAAATGGCAAATGGGTTGTGCCAGATTCACCTTGAATGTCTTCTATTACTTTGGGTTTTCGTAACTGTCATTGTTGGCTGCAACGTTAAATATAGTAATGACCTTCATTCCATTCACTGTGGAATGGATTAGTGAAGTCAATAGCAAATATAAAGCTAAATATTCTTAGTAACATGCAGGGCAAAATCAGAAGTATTCAAAGTTCCAAATTGCCAGAGTACTATATACACCAAATTAATTAAGTAAGAAGTTGCATTGATTTACTTCCTCCAAATACATAGGGTTCTTGGTGCTCCTGAGCATCCCTCCTCGATCTACTCTCTAAAGCAGAAAGCTCCAACAGAAAATCATTTTGGGGCATGGAACAGGCTAGAAAAAGAGAAATCTATGTTGGATAATTAATAAATGATATGCTGGGAGGACAGCATAGCCACGATTCAACCTCAGATCCTTCAGAAATTGAAAGAGAGAGAGTCATTCTTCTCCACCTCAGCTTTAAAGACATTTAGAAAAAGTTTTAAGTTTTTCACACCAGATTGATAGGATCTGGCGCTAAGGATAGTGATCTTGCATACTGTTAAAAGTTGTGAAAGATGGAAGGTCATTTGGCAAACCAAATTGGTTTAAATTGCCACATTAACATTGTTCTTAGTCTCTTTTCATGTTCTTGTTGGTTTTTATTTTAATTTATCTCAAAAATTAGTGAGAATTGTTTTAGAAACATGTGCATGAGAATGAGTTCATTTGCCCCAAGCCCCATTTGTCAGACTGATTGAAGAGCAAACAACCTTCTAAATATAAAAATTCATACATAGGGACTACTCTGAAAGCTGAGCAAACCTCGTCAAATTCATATACATTCATATTAAATCCTTAATAACATTCAGTTGTACATTTCGTATAGCAACCAGTATGAAAATTTAAACAAAGAGTGAAATCAATTCTTCAACAGAAAGTGAGGCTATCCTTGAGAAAGAGTGGTCTTATGAATAGTAATGCCATAATGCCATTAAAAAGAGGCATATGTGCATTGCTAATTAGACCAAAAAAAGTCATGACTGCAGTTCTCAACCACACTGAGAAATCTATAAATTGCACAATGAGATCTTCAAATAGACAGTTCTTAAATTACTTATATGGATCCAACACTCACCTACGTGGAACTGAATTTTAGAAAAAAATTAGTCACATTTTATTCTATTTAAAATAAACGTAGGGTCTGTGTGTGTGTGTGTGTGTGTGTGTGTGTGTGTGTGTGTATGTATCCTCATCCATTTTTTTAATTAGCAATTGAGACTTTTATACCCTTGGCCCCCTGTGGTCATTTACTTTTGTACTGTTGGTTCTATTATCAAATATTTCCACTTCCGGAGACAAACACAACTTGCACTGTTGAATTATAATATTGTGAAGAGCAGAATACTCTGAGGTGAGATTATTAAGGCCCAATTGGTTCATACATATAGCTCCAACCTTTATGTAGAAATGACTCGCATTTTCTACATTTAGGTGAATCCATTTAGGATAAAAGGAAAAGAGAACAGAGGAAGATAAGACAAAGAAAGCAAGCTGACCCTTGTATAGTTCCCCAATACATTAGTCCCTCTTTCCGATCCCAAAGGAGTAAATTTGAAATTTGTTGACAGTCTCAAAGGAGTAAACATTCTTTAAATTGAAGAACTAAAAACATAACTCTTATATAGCACAGAAAATAACTTTCACAACATCATTTTTAACTCTATTAGTCCAAACATAGATCCTATTCATTACACGCTATACCAATTTTCTTAAAGCCATAATCAACACAGCATAGAAGTTAAGAACATGGGCTTTGGAGACAAACTTGGCTTTGACTTCTAAATTTATACCATTTACTAGCTGTGTGACCTTGTGCAAATCACTTACCCTCAGTTTCCCCACTTTCCAATTCACCATAGTGTCTTACATGGTATAGGATAATATGAGGTAGAGCATATTCAGAACCTGGGGTATGAAAAACATTCAATATAGTTAAACTATTATTATTAATATGATTCACCTCTTTCCTAATGATTTAAAGGAAGCACATTGGTTCCATGGTGTGCTTCCATGCTCTCAGAACTTTACCAGGCCTCCATTCAAAAGATGACCATATTCCATTTGGTCCCACAAAAGATATCTACCAAAGATCAACTGACCATAGAAAAGGAAACACCCTAAATATCCACTAAGTCTCCCAGCTGTTGTTTTTTATATTTTTATATCTTCTAAAAATATGCTCAGCTAACCCCATTTCCAAATAAAGTGGGTTTCTAAAGCCACTGAAAATAAAAGAGCAATTCAGGCATTGACAAATGTGATTTCTTGGTCCAGCCACAGGTAATGATGATATACTGCTGCTAAGTTGAGAGAGAGTGGCTTAAAGGTTCAGGCAATTTGCACCAGGCTGGCAGAAAATGCTTTCTTGCAGGTAGCCTATTAATACCATCTGAAATATTGTCAAGCACGTGGATATGCTAATAGGAATATTGTAACAACATTCATCTGAGCAAAATTAATGCCAGAGGTATTTTTGCATTTTGTTTTGAGTCCTGGAATAAAGAAAGGAAAAGTTTTCTTTATTGTTTTGTTGACAGTAAAAAATGAGACTATAGGTCTAATGAACAGTCAAAGAACGAATACTATGTATTAGAGCCAGAGGCAAAAGAAAATCGATGCGGGTAGGCTCAAGTAGTAGGGCATTTCAGGGGTTCTTACAATGTCTCTCTCCCCAAAGAACACTTTGTGAGTTTCAAAGTAAATATGAGACACTAAAGAAAAGGAACTGGGGAAACTCTCTGAACTCAGCTCTGGTATTATTCCTGGCATTAACCCAGACGAACTCTCCTTAAGTCAGAAGGAGGGGTGTTGTGCTACC